TCGAGAGCCCGAATCGCAACTGCTAAACCAATCGCTCCCCAACAAATAGTGTCCAGTTCACTCGACTTAAAGAAGTGAAGAATAGAGAGACCTCGGCATAGGTCTAATGGTAACAACGTTATCAAGTTTATGAGCTCCAACTAACATAAAGGTGGTTAATTGAAAATTAATTAACTTAATATGCATAATATTCATCATCATCATCTAGTATTCGTATTCGATTCGAAGGCTGGCTGTCATATATCGCCACTGCTCGCGAGCCTTTGCCATTCTTTTTATTTTTCCGTATTTTCTCATGTTTAGCAATTCTTCGATGTTATCAAACCACTTGTTCCTTGGTCTTTTTCTCATGCTTCACTATCTATTTTCCCTTCTAGAATATTACGTCATATTAACGTTCCACTCCATACTCGTTTATATGTCCAGAAAACCTAATTTTCAGTTGTGCGATCTGTTTCATGGAACTTGGTTTAGCATCTGCTCTTCTTAGTACTTCTTCATTTCTCGTAAAACTTGCCCATCTTATTTTTCGTATTATTCTGAAACACCACATTTTCGAAAGTATTTATTCTCTTCATGCCATATTTGCTATGCTAAATGAATTATTTCGTCATTAAAATTCATTATCATTCATTTAGTGTTTACCTGTCTTCTTATTTTCTTGCCTTGTTGAGAGCTAGAGTGCATCGGTGCAAAGTTATATCTGTATTCGTGTTGAAACTAAATTTCAATTCTGAATAAACACACGGTTGATATAATCAAAGCAACTATTTTTATTAATTAAATTTTATTTCATTTTCAGCATATACAACCCCATCGTATGGAGCAACAGGTACCGGTATGAACTGAATCTTAATTTCAACCATACATTGAATAGAAAATACTGTCGTGATAGTCTTAAAATACAGAATTTTGATAAAAACTCAATTAAAGCGTTGAGTTGATCATTTGAAAAGATTAGCTAAGTTAAAAGCTTTAATATTTCACACAAACACAATCTAGTTTTAAACAGATTACAGACTTAGCATGCTACAAAGTATCATTAATTCTTTAGCTGACAATTACCGTAAAATATACAAACATTGTGGAACTTATTTTGTTTATATGATATAATTGAAAACCAACTTTTAAATGTAAATAAATGTTTTTGCCAGGTTTAAGCATGTTAAATCAAACCAAAAACTTGGGTTCGTCTCACTAGCAGGGTGCATTATCATGAATCATGGCACTACGTTGGCCAAACCATGAACTCACTTAGATTCCGTATCAACCAACACAAACATGATATTAGGAAAACGCCCAAGACAAAACAGTAGCCCAACATTTTCATTTGGCCCACTGTCTTCCTATTAACAATCTGCGTTTTGCCATTATCGACTTTAAAACTTCAATCATCAAATCCATCGACCTTTCAGAACTTTCCTGGATTTTCACACTCAAATTTCACACCCACATGGCCTTGAAGATCTTGATTTTTTTTAGTAGACTTCACATTCACCTCTGAAATGAATATTCTTGTCTTTACTTTCACACCACTGTAATCTCTCAATTTGTTAATTATTTGTACATACTGTAGTTCAAAGGACAGAGTATATGCACACTATGTTCACTTAAAGTAATATTGGATGGCTCTCAAAGTTATGTTGTTTAGATATATATTGATTTTTTTTATATAGATATTCCCTTATACAAGACAACTGATGACCTCCTCTGTCCTAATGCATCGCAGATTATTACATCTCCTGGTTACCCAAATGGATATAAAAATAACATGGAGTACAGGTGGACGTTCCGTACCCGATATCCGGGAAGTTTGCTCTCGATTAAATTCAACCATTTTGACATAGAAAAAAACTACGACTATGTGCTCATCTTCAGCGACGGTGAGCAGATTGCCAGCTACACTGGTTCCCAGATCCCTTCAACATTGTCAGCAAAGGCACCGTTGACGGTTGTCTTTCAAAGTGATTACTTCGTAACCGCTAGTGGATTTGAAGCTGAAATATCAGGATTAAGTAGTACGTTTAAAATAAATTATCATAATAGAATTGGGTAATGGTCAAAACGGTCTATCTACCATAATCATAATATTTATTAACTATTTATATATTAATTTTCAAGATTGCTGCAGCATATGTTTTATTTGATTTAATTAGGCCTACCCATGCACATTGTAGGCAGGACTGCATCCGGAGTTGTCTTTGGGAGGGGCGGGGTGCAGGGATGTGTAAAGGTTGATCATCTGGAGTCAGGGGCAGACCCAGTTTCCATTAGTCATTGCTATGGCAACTTTAATAATAATAATAATAATAATAATAATAATAATAATAATAATAATAATAACTACGGATTTATAGAGCCATAATATATGAAGCCTCATATGCTTGTCCTTGTTTTGAGCTTTAATGCTTAGTATCAGTGGTGGATCCGGGAATTTACTGACGGTGGGGGGGGGGGCAGGTACGCCAATAGGTATTCCACACCCTTTTCAGCCCCACCATGGTTGGGACTGAGGTGAGCAAATTTTAAGAATAAGACCCTCTAGACGCTCGAAAATGACACTCTCAGAGTAAAGATATGCTTTTTCAAAGCAGTGTTCTCCTCGACAAAAAAATATTGACTTACTCTCGACGGGAGCTATGCTCCCTCTGCCCTTGCACGGGCATCGCAAAGGTCTAATTAAGGACCTATGCCTAGTCTATTCTATACTGGGAGTATTATCAAATTATGATTTTGGTACCTCTAGATGCCCGGAAATGGCACTCATTCAGACTTAAAACTTGAATATTTTATCTCCATTTTTAAACTTAATATTTACAAATGCAGGGGGTCCTGGCCGGCTGGGCAACAACCACACTGGATTTAACTTGAAAATTTATTTTAAACCGTTGCTGATTTTATGATGTTTAAACCTTTTTTTTGTCCTTGTCCTTTTGTTTTCGTTACCTTGCCTTGCCTCCTGCTTTGCAGGGTAAGCTTGTAACCTAGGTTTTGTCTGAATGTTATATCCTTTTTAATAAAGTGGTTCAAATAAAATAAAAAATATGCTGTCCTACAGTCGATGTCCGTGACACACTGTTTTGTATCAGCAAAGCCCTTTTGGATTAGGGTGCTATAGAGCGAGGACCATACTGGACAATATGAGTAGGGGCACCGAAGGGGCCCTTAAGGATCAGTGACCATTGAAGCAAATTTTACGAATAGTCCCCTCTAGATGCTCGGAAATGGCACTCTCAGACAGGGACGTATCCAGGGGGAGCCGTGGGAGCCGCGGCTCCCCCCCCCCACCCTTTGTACAC